CCCCAACCCCCTCTGGAAATTCCGATTGAGCTTCATACATTTCTTTAATTTTTTTGGTTTTACAGAACCCCCACCCCCCAGGAAATTCCAATCCCTTCTATGGGGGGAGTATGGATATTTTCTGGAACTGAACAATTTACAAAATGTATTTACCAAGCATCAAAGAAACAAGATATATGCAGATCAGGACTCAAAATTAAGCGAAGTGCACGCATTATGTGCCTAGTTTATGGCTCTGATCGCTGGGTGTCCAGTTTGCGGCCTTTCATGACTTGTTCACAAAAACTGACTTGACTTCCCATGATGTAGTTAAGAATATTCTGCACTACCTTATTGTCTGGGTGATCAATAATTAACTTATTTACCTGTGTTCTTCATTCTTTTCCTTCATAATTCTCTTATAATTAGTTACCTGTGTTCTTCACCTCTTTCCTTCAAACAACTGTTGACCTTAATCACAAGCCAACTAAACAACCGAGAGTACAGGGCTTTGGCCAGGTTGTCTCTCCCTTCGGCTGCCAGATTAACAGACTTTTGAATGGCAACTTTCACCCCTTTGAATAAAACATTAACAATAAAAATGTTGATTTCATGTATATATAACTTAACAAGCAAAGAAACACAAGCTAAGGCAAATTTGCCATAGCAGCTAACCGTACATTTAACGAAATTCATGTAGCCAAGATTCTTGCATGTATCAGTAGCAATTTCCCAAAAAGAATAAAACTTGTCTTTGATTTCTATGACCTATTTATAATCATCTGAATATAAAACCTTTATCAGTGTATATATCGAAGAAAGTCGTTTTGCCCCCTCAAATAATTGACGGCAGCAACAACAACGAGTCAACAATCTTTATTTGTACTCTCTCACACATCTACTAATTGCACAAAACATAGATGATAAAATTAGAGTATTGGCTGCCTGGAATAACCAAGCTAGCAAACCACAAGTGTGTGCACACATAAAAAGAAAGGAAAAGAAGAGGAGGAAAAAAAATGCTATAATTACGACGTTATTGAGGAAGTCTAAATAGTTAAATTTATATATGAGTATAAAATATTAATTAAGAGAGGCACACAATTAATAGCTAAGACAACTAATAACATGTAATTACATTAAAATATATTATATAGACTACTTAGCATAGAGCTAATGGTTAAAAAAAATAAATTGACCTTTTTGATAAGCTGTTCCTTTGACAAGGGCCTCTCCCATTTCATCCACAGACACACCAAGAAGAGAACTAGCTGAAAATTTAGAGCAATATCAGTAATCATGCCAGTGCCTTGATGTCAATTAAATTAAAATGCATATGATAGATATTTTTTTATTCACTTGATGGGATCTACATGATCATGAAGTTATGATATGGAAATTGAAAAAGAAAATGGATCTTGTTCTTTTTTCCCCGCATTTTGGCCATCCGATCAGCGCAAAACCAATCACTTTCCAGCGAAATTTGCTCCAAAAATTCCTGTGAAATTGGCTGTTTCTACCAATCTTTTTTTTTAAGTGCTCTGGTACCCATTTATACACTTAGGTGGAGAGAGGCACTGTGAGAGTAAAGTGTCTTGTCCAAGAACACAACACAATGTCCCCGCCTTAATAAGGGCTCAAACCCGGACCACTCGATCAGGAGACAAGCACACTAACCATGAGGCCACCGCCACTCATAGTGGCGGTGGCCACTTAACTTAACCTTACCACAATGGACAGGCTGCGGGTCTTTGACAAATGCTGAGTTTGATTGCTGACTCATTGCACCAAATGAAATATTTCCAATGTGAAGAACCGATGCCAAACACTTTAAAATATTAGTGATTTCCTGCAAAGAAAGGCATGACAAACATACATGTATAATGTGAAACTCCATAACCCAAAACACTGCTCAACAATCAAATCCGTTAGGGTAGTGTGCGAACCGCTGGGAGGGGAAGACTTTCATGTTACAGGTTGAACATACTCATCAGATAATTTGAATTAAACCCCTAAAGGAGAACAATCTGGGTGTGGCTAAAGCTTTACTTGACCCCTAAAAGATACCACTTAAAAACAGACATTGCAGTGTTTTTTATTATAACTTTGAGAGCAACCCTAACAGATACTTGAGTGTGGTATTTTGTCCTGAACACCATAAGTACAACGAGACCATAAGTCTTTAATTTACATCCCTATATGAGACGACTTGTAAGCTTGCATCCTTGACCTTTTCACGTGGGGGTCCCTCTCCTCGGGTACAAACATAGTTTATATATGGGAGTACACCTTTCACACCACTCACATCAAAGTTTGGGACCAACACTAGTGAGCTGTTGTAATTGATGACAAACCTCTTCATCATCTACTTCACAATGTATAACTGTTTGATCAGCAACACCAATCTTTATCCTACCTCATTAGTAAAGCCAACAGCCTCCATATAACTTAACATCTTTGAATACTTCTCACTTAGAGTTGCCTTGCTGGCATCATCCTCTGAAGAAACAGATGGGTCGTAGGCCATGTACCTTCAGTTGTTAAGGAAGGTTTAACTTTAGTCAAATGTTTCCAATAAATGTCAGTTAATTACCATATATTGACACACCTTCGTTAAAATCTTCAAATGATATATGAAGAGCAATGATTATTGCAGCTGTAATATAGCCAGAGTTTAACTGAATCTCCTATAGCAAACACACACTCTTATTGGTCGATTTAAGGTCATACGATAATGGCATGTCGCCTGGTGGGCAACAATGAGCAGTTGTTGCCCATTCTCCCACTAACCAGAGGTAACCTTGATTTGGGGGTAATTCTTCTTGCCTTATTACTTTCCACTAAACTTCAGCTATATAGCAAAACATTTAAATTTACTGGTCCCGGCCTTAGGAAACAGTTAAATAATATGTTTTCCCTTGAATCTCAATTTTTCTCTCAACTTTGCCCTGGGAAACATTTAGATTCTCAGGGTTTGTATCCTTTCCAGCAAAAAAATTTTCAGGACTTTTCCAAGACTTTTTCAGGACTCTAAAATTCACATTAACCCTTTCACTTCCAAGATCTCAATGTTAATTCTCCTTACTGTCTGCCATACATTTCATATTTTTTACGCGAGTTTAACAGATTTCCAGAACTTTCCAGGACCAGTAGCCTTTTTCCAGGACTTTCCTGTCCTGGAAAATGCCACAATAAAATTCCAGGACTTTCCAGGTTTCCAGGACCCGTACGAACCCTGGATTCTTTGGAAAACAAAACTAACTGTTGATAAAGGATTTAATAAAGACTATTAAAATTTTTGAGAGCGGACCCATACAAACAGGCTGTTTATAATAATCAACAGGGTGGCATTTAAATTAGATTTACTGGGCATTAGAAGCTATCACAGGACATGGTAAAAATTTAAAAACGATCCCTGGCTGAAACGATTACAAAAAATTACAAGCTTTCAACCTCCTTAACTACAGTCTTCGACTGGAGTCGTAATCCATTGAAGACTATAGTTCAGGCAGTCAGAGCTTGTAATTTTTTGTAATCGTTTCAGCCAGAGATCATTTTTAAATTTTTACCATGTTTTATCCTGGCTGTGGACCTTCAATATTTTCACATATTACAGGACAATTAAAACAAGGCCATGGGACTCATATCTGACTGACTGGGTAACAATATACAGTCGAACCTGCATATAATGGCCACTCTCAGGACTTAAGGAAGTGGTTGCTTAATAGACGGTGGCCACTTAATACAGGGCTGTTATATACAGGTTCGAGTGATTTATCATTGCAGACTAATAAATTATGATTTACTGACCGATGAAGGTAATCGGAAGTAAGGCTGTATTCCTGTAATTGATCTGCATGCATCCCATAGAGAAGATAGTGGAAAATATGAAAATTCTTGCCTCCCTGAACAATGAAATTACAAAGAAAGTATAAACACAGTAGTCAGCCTGTAACGTACCTGTAGACAGTCAGTGACGTTTTAAAATGAGTGAGTTATTATTTATCATTTTTAGGCCAAAAAAATTTTCTTGAAAAGATGATGTTGTGCCTGACAACTTTGTCCATCAGTCACAGGCAAGAGAATTCCTTTTGTTTTTTCTTTGTTATTTAAATTTTGAATTCCCAGTGGGGTTTAAATAACAATTGCCCTAATTAGCATAAGAAACAGAAAAAGTGAAGGATTCTGGTAGTTGTAGTCAAATGACACCATCATGCAAATCGCCTGTTGTGAGTATCAGATAGTCAAGAATTTTAACTATTTTTTATAATTACAAATTATTACCTCAGTGCTTTTAATTTCTCCCTGTAAGTATACAGTTAAAATGACCTCACTTTACCTTCTCTTGATGAACTACTCGTGATTTCTCCAACATGTAGTGATGAATCTTTCCTATGATACAACCAATACAGTGATTTAAAAAATATACCAGTACGTGTAACAAAGTATGACTACCTAAATATCTGCATGAAGTACTAAATTATTCTTTGGTTTATACAGTATGAGCTTCTTGTGCTGTACTCATAAATTAAAATCTGGGTTGATAAAAGTTTCCAACATGGTCTTGAATACCAGAATTTACTTGTAATGGTCAGGTGATCTAACCACTGAGATATGTACAATAAATAAAACAGAAACAGTATTAAAAATAAATATTACAAATTGCTACGAAATTTCAAAACCCAAATCAGTAACACCAATACAGGGACGGTTTCACAGTTTGCATCATTTATTCACCTGTGCAAGCTTTCCGGAACAGGCCCAGTTTTTCATTGTTTGTGAACCATAATCATACACAAGTTACCTAATTTCACATGCAAATAGCCATAAATCATCAGCTGTAGAATAAATTGTACAGGTCAAAACTAAATTCCACAGTTGACAGCATTGGTAAAATCCACTGAAATCTTCTGAGAATTTTGGTCATCTGTCATTCTACCACGACTATCTATAGCATGTGATTACCAAACTACATCTGAGAGGGGTTCTTAAAGTAAAAACATTCATAAGAAGCAAACAAAAGTATTTAGATTTAGAGGCATGCACCAAACCATGAAACCCTCCCTTTAAATCTTCATTAGAATAAGCCAAGCTCTGAATTAAATTAAAGCCCTTTTTTTGAATAATATTGCAAAATTATTTCTTAACAATTAATTGTTAGTCACAATCCCAATCTAATAATTTGTTATCTTAAAGTAACTTACCTCCAGACAATTTGAATTCAGGTGAAAAGTAAGCTTCATAGTACATTGCAAATCTGCTTGAGTTCTTGTTTTGCACTGTAACAGCATTGCCAAAAGCTTCAACAATGAACTGAACCTAGCAGTAATCAAATACAAAAGACTCAAACAAAATGTAACAGAAACATCACCTAGCTGGTAAATATACTGTTATTTACTCAAATTGATTGTGGAGCAGGCAGTCTGGTGCAAGCCCTGGCCAGGGTAATTGTGCTGTGTTCTTGAGCAAGACATTTTCCTCTCACACTGTCTCTCTCCTCACCCAGGTAAATATTAAACAAGTACCAGAAAATTTAATGCTGGGGGAATTAATGCTGTGATGGACTTAAGCATCCCATCCAGGAATGCTTCTGAAGCCATGGATAAGCACCAACCTGATGGGTCTCTTGGCTTGATCGTATGCATGCATCCGGACCACACTTGGCAGACTTAACCTTTACCCTTAAAGCCATCTGTAGGCTATCCTTGTGTTTATTTTCTTAGTGCTATACAGAAAACAGGCTATTAGCTCCAACTGTATGGGCCATTTAATTTAGCCCAATGCAGATGGGCAACTCTGGGTTTGATTGCCAGTAAGCTCTAGGTCAGGTCCCAGCAAGTTTGCCAAGATCACAGTGAAAAATGAGAAATGTCTTCACTTGCTAAGATACTTATTACATTTCATTTGGCTAGCAAGCTGAGATTTGGCTGAGATACTTTTAACACTTCAGAGGACTCATCAAGATTTTCACACACACAAAAAAGGTTTGGATTTTAACTCAGTAGGATAACAGACAGATCAAGTAACACTGCAGTACCTGTAAAAACTTTAATTTCAGGCTGGCCTGTATCGGTACAACCACGTTGACAATGTAGCCCAGGAAATGCTTGAGGGATTCTGTTTTTCCTGAGGCACTATCACCAGTCAACACACAACATTGACTTTTTGAAGAGTGGCACATGGATTTAAGAATAGTCTTGCATTTAGAATACACATGGGGTGGTAATTGCCTGTCTGCTTGTGAAGTCTGATAAGCTTGTATTTCCTAAAAAGATGGGAAACATTACTGCATGCTTTAAGAGCAGGTTTTCAATTGAGTATTGTAAAAGCAACACTGCAGTTACTATAAATCACATATTACACAGACTACTGTAGAACTTGTAATCAATTCAAGGCTCAAAGCAAATAATTATTTTTATACGTAGTAGATGCATCAAGAATGGGAAATTGTTTATCTGTTTTTCTCTTAGTTTGTTTTTGCTTGAACTTTGTGTTCTGTGAACCCCCTCCCCCCCCACTCCCCAAAAAAACATTTAAAATGTTACCAAATTTAATTTGCAAGCTTTTGAATTGATTAAATTTTCTGCACTCTGCAGGCTGACACAAGAAGCCCAGAAGTGAAATTTTACATGTACCCTCCTTAGCAACACACGCAAATGCAAGTGCGTGCACAAATCTGTTAATGGGCCCTTAAGTTGTACATATAACTGTGATAGTGTCTTTGCATAATGAGTGTGTATAGATAAATTACTGGGTTATACCGATAATGCTGAGATGTAACCCAAAATGGGATTAAATTGTATATACAATAGCACATTCCTCATCCACAGAACTGTGAAAGCAATTGGAGGAAGAGCCATCATTTACGTGATGTGTACCACTGCTTTTCTCTAATTCTATTGTATTGGTTCAATATAAGGAGCACTAGGATTATTGGCACAGTGGTGAGAGCACTGGCACTTGCCAGCCCCCACCATTGTGGCCTGGGTTCGATTCCGGCCGTATGTGGGTTGAGTCTAATTTGTTGTTGGTTCTCTTCTCTCTGCGAGGGTTTTTCTCCAGGTTCTCTGGTTTTCCTCCCTCCCTCCAAAAAAAAAACCAACATCTTCAAATTCCAATTCAATCAGGACAGATGATCCATATGAAAACCAGCTAGGGTTGATGTGTTTTACTTGTAATTTACTTTATTTAAATATACACTTTTCAGAAGTGGACAATGATTGTTAACACAGGATGTAACTCAACCTTTTTAGCAACTGCAGAGAGCTCACCCAACCCTGGGGGGAATCCCATTATTATAGAAAGGACAAGAGTGCTCATCATACCTTTTAGGAGTTAAAAAAGTGGTTTTGGTATATCTTAGGGTGGTCCTCCACAAAACATCCACAGCAGTAGCATTTCGGATACCTTTTAGGGTATTGCGCTGAATACAATATGATAGCCCTGAGATAATGTGTTCTATTAGAAATGGTGTACTCTTAATAAAGAGTGAAAAACATTTCAAGTCACACCCACAATGTTAACACCAAATCTTGGAACCTCTTAGGGGTTCTTTCCAAAATTGTTGACTTGTAGCACCCCCATCCTTTTTCTATGGGATTCCACCCAGCATCCAATACCCTAATACAATGTGTGTAGGGAGAGTCGTCAGGACAAAGGATCCAAGAGTGAACATTTAATTGTATTCTGAATATGGTTGGATATAGTATTAATAACGGTTTTCTACAAAATATTACTTTCTGGTGATGTGTTAATTAAAATAATATGGCTTCACATTTGTTGCCATTGTTGTCATGGTTTTTTCATAAAATCCCATGTTAAAGCCCACAGTTACAAGCCCCTCCCCCCCTCCACCCTCCTGACATAAGCCCCCCTATTTGCTAATAAAGATATTATTTCAGATACAAGCCCCCCGGATATGTGTCCTCCTGGATAAAAGCCCATCTAATTTATAAGTGCATTCATTATGCATTTCTATACAAACATCAAAATTTTAATCAAAGTTACAGGCTAATAGAGTAATAATCAATTTGTTTCTCAGATACATTTTATCTCGTCATTTCGAAACATGTTTTTTATTCTGCTTAATATGTGCCTCCCCGAATAAAAGCCCCACCCCCCACCCCTAAATAAAAAACCATTGCCCTATTCTATTGCTATAAAACTGCTAGCATTGATTCTATCATGAATACCATTCTCTGATTGGCTACGCTACTCACTATCTATTCTGTTCTAGATAATGAGTAGCCTACAGAACTGTGCAGTTGTTAACAAAATTGCAGCTGCTTCTTCACGTTCTTTTCCATTTTACCATGAAAAAAAGCAATTCACAGTGTAAGTGCCCCTATAGCACGAGTTTCTATCCCTTGTTTGATTTGGTTTAATCTTTAAAGTCACACTA